TCCTATTTATTACATAATAAGTACTAACATTAAATATAATAATCTCGAAATAAAGAGTTTCTTTAAAATAAAATTTAAATTCATAAAAGAATTAATTAAAAATAACTAATTTAAATACTCTTTTCATTCTCCATAATTTATCCTATATTATTTATAATTAAGACTAGAATGGTATTTTTTTTTCAACTATTTTAAGTCATCATAAGTTAACTCTAACATTTAATTACAAATTATAAAATATTTTTTAACTTAAAGATTTAATTAAAATTTTAACTTAAATATATTTTCAATCTCTTTAAAATGAGTGGCTTTTGCTTCTATTTTGTACAAAAGAAAAGTTATTTATTTTTCATCTCTTTAAAATTTAAAATTATTATTATTGATCTTTGTGAAATTTATGAATTTTGAGTTTATTCTCCATCAAATATTTTTTTCTTAATTTTCATCCTTTTAAAATCTAAAATTACTATTTTTTTCTTCTAACAATTATTTTAAAGTTTGGTGTAAAAAATAGTTATTTTAAAATATATAAATAATATTCATTTTAGAAGTCTATAAACTTTTTAGAGGTGTCTATCTTAGTATAATACTATAGACATTAGTATAGATCATCATTTAACTTTCAATTAAACAATTAAGTGATTAATAAATGTCACATAGTAATTAAAGTTGTAAATTTTTCCAAACTAAACCTTAAAAAAGGCAACCTGAATAGAAACAAGTCATTTGATCTCACTCGCTTAACCCCAACAAGCTAAATAACATAAATAACATTAGGTTAAGCTGGTTCAATCAAAAGTTAAAAAATAATAATAATAATTTAATAGTTAATTAATAATAGATATAATAAGAGGTCCATTCTACTTGTTGCTTGGTTTACCATATTAGTTTTTAACTGATTTTGATTTGTTCAAATAATATTAATTTAACAATTGATACTTGTATCGTTGATATTCTTCTTGTGATTTCGGAGATGTATCAATTTAGTGATTTCGGATACTTATATCAATTATATCAATTTAGGCATTGTTTTTTTTTATCTATTATTGTACATAAAAATAAACGCAAGAAAATCTTATTCTTTTATTGGTTCAAGCTTTTCCTTTTTTTAATTATATCATTCTTTCAAGTTGAATGATACATGTAATCGGACTTAAAATTTCTTTTTAAATTTTTTTCTAAAGGATGACACGGTAACTTTAAGCCTAACAATGACTTTTTTTAATAAACACTTGTAAATGTATTAAAAAAAATATAACCATGCTTGTTTAACATAAATCTCATTGTTCAATAAACAATTTCTTTGTTTTTAATTTACAAAAACTATATATTTAATTTTTAAAATTTTTTATCTAAAATTATTTTATTTTATTTTATTATTTATTTTTGTTTAGGACTAATTTAATTTGATGGCTTGATATTGGTTAAGTTGGGTAGAATAATATTAACTCCAACCTAATTTAAACTAGGTCAAACTAGTCTCGAAATACTATATGACTTGTGTGAGTAATGTTAGGCCACACTAGTTTGATCCGTTTAACAGTTTTAATAATAATAGGAATAAAAATAGTCATTTCATATTTTGAGATAAATTAAAGAATTTTTTTATAAAACTAGAAACAAAATTGACTCAAGAATTAAAAATATGTTTAAACTTAAAAATTTCAAATAGTGTACAATTTTATGATATGATAATACTAATTAATATTACATGCAATGGTTGTTTCTCTCATTAAAATTAATTTAAAAGATAAAATATACACTTTCTTAGGATGATTGTTTTTTATGTTTAACAATTTCCAAAAAATTAATATCGATATGTTAAGTTAGAAGTATTGTCATTTAATATATTAAGGGGGGTGTATTGGTTTAGGATTTCGTAAGATTTTAAAAGACTTTTTTTGAGTAAAAAAATCCATTGGTATTCAATCAGGATTTTATGTCACTTAAAAATAATCTAGTGGTATTCAATCACGATTTTCAAGATTTTTTAAAGAGTCCATTAAAATCCATTGGTATTCATTTGAGATTTTTACAACTTAAAAACAATTCATTGGTATTCAAAAATATAAGGATTTTAAAGGATTGTTGTGTGAGAGGGATTTTGAAGGACTTTCTAGTGTTATCTATAAATACCAAATTCATAAAATAATCTCATCTAAACCCATCGGATTTTAAAGGATTGTTTGAAGTGACTTTTCAAGAATTTTCAAGTGAGTTTTTTATATTTTTTTTCTATGCTCCTATCTTCTCCATTTTTTCTCTGCTAATAATACTGCATTATTGCTCATTGCTCATATATAATATTGTAGTATTGTTCTCATCTCATTCCCGTATTTTGTGAAACTCCGATATATAAATGATAGTGTCATTGATTTGCTCTATTTTTCTGTTCGTTCTCTTTAATTGACTTGCTTTATTTTATTCTATGTAGTTGAATTTGTTCCTTTATATAACACAAAAAAAAAATGCTTAAAATTTTAACTTAATTTTAAGTGGTAATTTTTTTTATAACACACGTCAAGAAAAGAAAAAAGTGAAAGATAAAATTGATATCATAATCTCTACAATAATATATATATATATATATTCTGTATATCTAAATGCTTATTCTTTAAATAATAATAATAATAATAATAATATTAATAATAATTATTATTATTATTATACTAATATTATATATATTGCATATGTAATTAGGTAAATATTTTTTTGGTGAATTGTAGATTTCCTAATCAACGCCAATTTTTAGCTCCATTTCGAGGTGTAAGATATCATCTACAAGATTTTGTAGGTCGGGTAATAACCCTGAAAATGAGAAAGAATTGTTCAATCTTCGTCATGCATCTTTAAGGAATGTGATCGAGAAAATATTTGGTATTTTTAAATCAAGGTTCACAATTTTTAAGTCAGCATCTCCATTTTTATTTAAGACACGAGTAGAACTTGTGTTAGTATGTGTAGCACTACATAATTTTCTACGTAAAGAATGTCGTTCTGATGAATTTCCAATTGAAGCGGTGGATGAACCTTCATCTTCAACGTTACCAATTAATGAAGATCATACTTTTGAACTTATTATTCAAATCCAAGAACAAGAGCGAAAATACACTAATGCTTGGAAGACTAGTATAGCTATGGATATGTGGGTGAATGTTATGGAGAATTATTATTATTATTATTATTATTATTATTTATCTAGACATTATTATTTTTTATTATTTTTGTCTTTGACTCTTTTTAAATTTGAATGTATAAAATTTTTTTTGAAATTTTATCAAATGTCAAAAATTCACGAAAATTCTACAAAATCCCACAGAATCCATTAAAATCCTGATTTAAAAGTCTTGCAGAATTCATTAAAATCTTGATTTTAAGTCTTGTAGAATCCTGCAAAATCTTAAAAGTCATGAAAATCCTGCAAAGTCTTTTAAAATTCGCAGAATTTTTTTTAACTAAAAAAGTCTTTTAAAATCCTAATCCAATATACCCCCCTAAAATACATGGAATAGGAATAGTAATTATCAAATATGTGCAAAAAAAATATTTCATATATATTTACCTAATTTATCAAGATTAAGAAAACTAGTTAATTTAGATAATAATAAATTTATCACACACACACACATATATATATATATATATATATATATATATTAAATTACTCCTATACTACTTATTTTTCATAATTAGAGTATGTCCTATATCATTTTTTATCCTAATTAATAATCATTTTTTTTCTTAATTAATTAGAGCACATGCCTTATATAATTTCTCTTAAGCATGACAATTAAACTCATACTTGTAAGAACCCATCCAACTATAATTCTATTTTGATAGAAAAAACTCGCTTTGACCAGGTATGAGTGCAAATATGAGTTTTGTCTGATTTAGAAAATCAAGTTCAAGTATATAAGTTACCGTTGTGCTACATTTTTTTATAGCAAAGGATTATATATGCATATATGTGTGTATTAAAGTTAAGATTTTATTTATATAAATATTAAAAATACCAATTAATTATTTTAGAAGTTAAATAATTTAAATTATAACATTAATTAAGCAACACACGTAAAATTATATATTTAACTAAAAATAAGATTTAATTCTTAAAATTTCTATTTGTGAGTTCTTTAATCTTTATTCTTTTTATATATTATTAATATCATAAAATAATTATTAACTTAAAATTTAATTTCTTTAAAATTTATAAATAAATTAAAATTATAAAAATATGTGATAAGTTTTCCATGATTTATCCAAATCTAACAAAATTTGTTGGGAAAGGAAATAGTTTTAAAAATATAAACTCACTTATTTAAAAATTGCACCCGTCCCACCTTCTATAGAGACAAGAATAGGGACAACAAAACACGACATGTCCTATTGTCATCCCTACGTATTTTTTTAAAAAAAATTGTAATTAATATATTTTATTAAATCAAGATAATACACTTTAATTACAAGTATCTTAGTCTAAAATGGTTAATATATGAAATAACAATAAATTGACCCTTATAAATAAAAATAAAAATAGTAATTAATATCAATTAAAATGTGTAAATCATAAAAAAAATGGAATAATAGAGAAAGTTTAAAACATTAAAAAAAATGGAATAAAAGAAAAAGTCTTGTTAACCAATGTTCTTAGAATATTAATTATGAAATTAATATGTAAAAAACTTTCTTTAAAAACTTTAAAATAAAATCATATGGGAGAAAGATACATTTTTCAAAAAAAAAAAAAAAAAAACTCTACTTCTAACGTCCTGAGATAATATTATACATTTTCCAAAAATTCTTAAACATGCATGTCCTGAGATATAAGAATTATAAAAGGAACATATTTAATTTGTCATAAACACTTAGCAAAAATATGTTAAGCAAAATACATAAAATTTCAGAGATGACAGTTGGAAAATGCACATTCATATTCATCGTTCATGTAAAGGAGTGATAAAAAAAAAATGAAAACGTAGGGAAAAAAAACGGTGGAAGAGAGAAGAAGAAAAAGAGTGAGAGAGTGTGTTCAGTGTGAAACCACTGAAAAAAAAAAACTGAGAAAGCGACAGGCAAAGAAAAAAGAGGTTCGGAGCCAGCCACCATAACAGTGAATTCTGAATGCAACAAATAAAAAAAAGAGGTAAAATTTACGGTGAAAACAAAGTCTTATTAGATTCTCGACATAAACAAGTATGTGCAGTGTGCTACTTTTTAATACGCAATTGGGAGTTTAATGTTTGTATAGAGATTTGCGTCTGTTGAATCCGTGTACCAAGGTAGCAGCTTTTTTTAATTTTCTTTTGTTTTTTCTCTTAACTCAGTTATGGGGTTAGAAGATGGGTTGTAAAAATAAATAAATAAATTTTGAGACACAAAATTTTTGACCATAGATTTATAACCTTTTCATCTCAAAAGCTTGTGTTGTTGTGTCTCTATATATACAGTGTAACTCTATCACTTACGTTTCTTTCTTTTGTTCTCTTTTTGGTCACAGAGAGAGAGAGAGAGGGGTGTTGTGTGTTTTTTTATTGGGATTTCTGTGAGGAATCCATTGAAGGAGGAAGAGCATCGATTTATGTCTTCTGGGTATTATTTGGAAGTAGTGATTAGAGCTCTGTTGCTGCTCCAGTTCGGTTGTGCTTGTGTTTTATGCATGCTTCTCTGGCTTTTGTTGAATACTGCTGTTTCGATGAGTTTGAGGTCAAAACGGTATGTTTTGTTTGTGATTTTGTTGTTGTTGTTGTTGTTGTTTTGATGCTGGAGTTTGAATTTTTTTTTTTGTGCTTTTATTTTATTTTGCAGGACATGTTATGGAGTTGTGGTTTGTTATGGGGGGTTTCAGATAAAAATATTGTCCAGTTTCTTCCTCCTTTTGAGAGTGGATCTCACCTGATATTCTTGAAATTTTGAGGGGTTTTGTTGTTGTTGTTGTTTTTTTTTTTTTTTTGGGTTTTATTTTAGTTTTCAAAATTTTGGTTTTGTTTCGTTAAACAATTTTCCGGGTATTTTGAGGGGTTTTGTGGGTCAACAATTTTTCACGATGGTGGAGCCTCTTAACAAGGTGAAGAAATTAAAGCAGAAGCGAAACCGGGTTCGTGAGTGCAAAATGGCGAGAAAATTGCGCATCATTTGTGATGATCCTGATGCTACCGACTCTGATGAAGATGAGAATGAGAAGATTAATGGTGGGAAGGTGAAGAGAAGTATGATTGAGGTTACTCTTCCCCTTGTTTCGTTTAACTCTGTCACTGCAGAAGAAACTAGCACCCAGAGCTCAAACAACCACCAACAGAAGAAGGTGAGTGTTTTGGCCAAAAAAACATCCTCAGTGAAGAGACAACCTTGTGGGAAGTACAAGGGTGTTAGGATGAGAAAATGGGGCAAATGGGCTTCAGAGATTCGTGACCCTTTCAGAGGTGTTCGTGTCTGGTTGGGCACTTACAACACTGCAGAAGAGGCTTTTCAAGCTTATGAGACCAAGAGGCTTGAGTTTGAAGCCAGGGCCAAGGCTGAGAAGAACAACAACGATGGTGATTTTGTTAAAACAGTGGCTGCCCTGGAAAATAACAGTTCCAACTATTGTGTTTCTTGTGCTGCAGGTTCTGTATCTGACTCCAAGTCTTGTACTTTGGATGACTCAGAGAGTTTGGTGTCACACACATCCCCATCTTCAGTGCTCGAATTGGATAATTCCGTTGAAAGTGGTAAGGTTTCAAGCAATGAGGCCAAAAGTTTGGAGGATGAATTTGCTGAGTTGGAAATTCCGGATTTTAGTATGCTGAATGTGGCATCTCTGGTTGATTTGGATTGTTTGGCGTTTGATGGCTTGGAGCATGTCTTTGATGATGATCTTGGAGGGTTGGAGGACATTCATATTTCTGGTTTTGATGACAATGTGCCTAGTGATCTTCCTGATTTCGATTTTGATGACTTTGGTGCTGATGAGTTTGCTGGTTGGATTGAAGAACCCCTCAATATACCTTGCGTATAGATTTTGCAGCTAAATAGTCTATTACATTTTATGTTCTGCGTTATTGCCCAAAAGTGCAAAAGTTTTGTGATATCTCAGGATCAAACTAGTTCCTGGGTGAGTTGAGTTTTTAATTTATGTTTCTTGAGGGTGATGGGTGATAAATGAGAGTTAATGAGAGAATGCCTTGGTTTTTCTTGTGCTATTAGAGCCGTCCAAGGGTTTCTATTATCATCATAGTTTTATGGCGGAGTGTAGAAGACTATCCAATTTCAATTGTATTATCTACCCATCAAATATTTTGATTTCAATTCTGTGTCAATTTTATTATTATATTTTTTTAAGAGTTAATCACTTATACACTGTTAGTGTAAAGTTTTTTTTACACTGACAACTAATTATATTTTTTAATTGTGTTATGTCATTATAAATACATTTATTTTTAACAGTGACATGATATAATTGAAAGATATATTTGGTTGTCAGTGTAAAAATTTTACACCGATAATTGTTTTTTAATGTGCCCAATGATTCCTATCGATAAATTAGGCTTAATACTTTGAGTGCAGCAAATCTGACTTTTTCTTTGTAAGAGGTTTGTTTCTAATGTGTCCTGTGGGGGAAGTAAGAGTTGATTTCTTAGAATAAAAGTAATAGAAAGAAGTAGCAATCAAATATAGATGAGAAAAGTGGGGAGAGAGTATGGTGTTTTTATGAAACAAAAGATATCATCATCGACCACACACCACAGGCAGCCAAAGATGTTGTGTCCCAATAAGGGACTTGTTTCTGCGCTATAGCTGTACACCATTAACATTTACCACTACAGTGATGTTGGTGTTGTTGTTAATCATAATTGTAATTTTATTTTCATAGTATCCATTAATATTTGATGGATGACAAGTGGTAGTGATATTTTTTTAATATTTGTTTACTATTTTTTAAAATTTATTAAAAATTACATATTTCATGGATTTTATATCTTATTTAGTGAGCTTTTTTTTCTTCTTATTTAGTAGTATAATTTGTTAAAATTTATGATTTTTAATCATTAATAAAAAATATTATAAGAGAGAGTAAATGTTCTAATATTTCTCTCAATAAAAAATTTTAGGCTTTAAGATAAATTTATTATTGAGCATTCAAATTGAAAATTATTTTTTTAATCTATACAATTTCAAAAAAAAAATTCATTAAATCATTAATAATATAATAGGAAATAATAAATTAAAATAATTATGAATAATGTAGTGATATTATTTTCATTAATAAGGACATTAAAAAGTTGATTTTGCATGTTAATAAAATTTGAATAGATAAATTAAAATAGATTTTTCATATTATAGAAACTAAAATAAATAAATTTAATAGATTACTCGTTCCTTGGTTACCAAGCCAAAGACCAAGAGTACTACTAGCCAATAAAAAAATTAGTGTATAGAAAACAAAACGGAATGTTAAAAAAGAAAAGCGAAAAGAAAAGCGATGAAAACAGTACTTCAGTTCGTAAGATCCGACAACAATGTCTCTGCCGTTAGATATCATATAATTTAATAAATTATTTAAATTTAGAACCCATAATCGTACATCAGTTACACTATTTCGTACAATTATAAGTTTTTCCGTGTTCGCATAAACAACAGGCGTATAAGGTACTTAACAAATAATTTTTTAAATCTGTCAAAAAAATAATTTTCTAAAACTATTTTAGTCCATATATTTTAGAAGTAATATTAAAAAAATAATGTAAGAATTTTTAATCATATAAATTATAATAATGATAATAGATTAAAATATGAAGTACGAAATTTATACATAATATATTTTGTAAACATGTCATATGAATGAAAATGTATGGAAGAGGTCTCTAGCAAAGACTTGATGACTATTCCTTTAATGTAAAATCGTCAGTGTTCCTTTTTGTAATGTTTTACGATATGAAAAAGGTCACACTAAGTAGCATTTACTTATCTTTATTAGAGATCTCTCAATGACCCTAGATGATTTTTTTTATGCAGGGATGCATGTATCTTGCAGATTTTATTTTCACACTGGATTTTCCCTCATGGTGATGCATTTTTATCACTTTTTTTTAGTGTTTCCTTTACACTAGGGGAACTTTCTAAATATGACAATAGTTTAACCAACAACAATGCAACAAACATATACTCAAACGATGTACATCCACGATCGGTTCAAATCCATGGTTTGTCATTCCTGTCAAAGAAAGTGTTGGTCTAGGAAGGTTCTAGTTATCCTCACTAGTCTTTAAAGGCTCCCAATGTGCCCCATTATAGGAACCCAGTACCTTTGTCGTCGTCACCTGACAAACTCTAAGGTCTGACACAGTATTTCAGGCTAGAGTAACTAGTTATCACCTTGAGTGTGATTTTTGATAAGGCTCGCAGGCTCTAAGGCCATACTTTGGCTGATCGTACGTCAACCACTCCCTATGTTTACGCGCTCATGCCCTTGGGTATAGAGGGAACTGTTGTGTGCAATGGTTTGTGTACATTTGTTTATTTTAAACATGCAGATATAAAGCCACCAAAGTAAAAATGCATACAAAATGAACAATAATGAAGGGAACTAATATTTGAACTATTATCTCATTATGCTAGTTTCATCATTTATTTTAGGCCTGACCCTCTTTAAGTTTCTCCAATAGAGTTTTCATCTGTCAGAATTCGAAAAATTATGATCTTGCCCACCAATGGTTTGAACTTCTGTTTTGAAAATCTCATCGGTTAGGAAATGCCTGGACACCACACTAATCCCTAACCAACGATTTTTGAAAAGAGTTGATGGAGTTTCCATTGATATTTTGCTCAAAATATTGAAAAAAAGAAGAAAAGAAGAAAAGAAGAAAAGAATTTTAAAATGTCAAAACAACCATTACAACCAGAATTGGGTTTGGGGGTCAATTACGTGTAAGCAAGGTGTTAGGCACCCTACTATGCCCTGAATCGCTACCCTATGATGAAACTAGCACAATTACAAACAATAATTTAAATATTAGGTTCCCTTTTATTAATAATTATTTAGATATTTACATGGTTTGTCCTAAAATGTCTACATGATTGTTTTTGTTTATGACAGAAAAGATAAATAGTAGAGAAAGATACCTCTTAAAACAAGCTTTTGTAGATACTTTCGAATGTAGCAAATTTTAGGTATTTTTTGGTTACCTTTCACACTTCACAGTGCCTCATAAATCTCAAGAAATACAATAAAAGAGAGATAAAAGAGTACTAGATTTTAAAGGGATTTGTCAGATCTAAAATTTCTTGCCTTGAGCATTGTGCTCGAGCCTATTATTTATAGGCATGAAAATCCACTAGAATGGGTCGTTTCAATTTTGGAATGGGCCATTCTAGACTTTTTTGTTATGTGTAAAATTTGAATTTGGAACGACTTGTTCCCAAAGCGAAATGGTCCATTCTAGATTTGAATTTTACCCATAATAGACTAGGTTATAATGGGACGTTCTGACCTAGGGTTACAGGCCTTTTTCTAAGCTTGGAACGGCCTGTTCCGGGCTACAAATTCTGACACTTGGTTCTTTGGATCCTTGGATGTCATGTTGGCCTGCTCTGGTGTTGTTTTCAGGCCTTCGGGAGCTTCTTCTTCATGTTGAAAGTCCATTTCTTTGTTTTTGTGCCCCTGGACAAAATTAGGTGTCTATAGTATGTAGTAATGTCATTCAAAGCGACCAATGCCCCTATTGTTTTCATGGAGTACATGAACTAGATTTTCATACCCTTTTTAATAAGTTTGTTGTTGTGTTTATTGATGACATTCTAATCTACTTAGGATCTAGGGAGGAACATAAGGGGCATTCGAGGCTCATGTTGGAGATTTTGAGGGATAGGAAAATGTTTGCCAAACTCTCCAAATGTGAATTCTGGTTGAAGAAGGTGAAGTTTCTTATGCATGTGATCCTTGTTGAAGGGATTACAGTAGATCCAACAAAAGTGGAGTTAATATTACAGTGGAAGCTTCCAAGGATTATTATGGATATCAGGAATTTTATTGGGTTAGTGAGTTATTATCGAAGAAGGCAAAAAGGTGGATGGAGTTCAGGAAGGACTATATTTTTGGTTGATGTATCATCCTTGGAAGGCCAATGTAGTGGAAAATGTTAGAAAAGAATGGCACAATCCAAGAGGGGGGGGTGAATTGGATTCTATGACCCTTTAAAAAATTTCAGAGTATTTAGGATCTTTATTTCACTTAAACTTTTCTAAGACTGAATTTTCAATGAAGTTTCTTCAAAGACTTGCTTATAGAAGTATGAATGCTATATGCTTTCTTGATTACAAAATAATGAGGTTCAAATGTAATGCTCTAATTCAGATTAAACCATCAATATTCACACACACATGTTAATCAAGAATTATCTTCTTTAATGTTCAACCAAGATATTACTCAAAGTAAAAGATAAAGGTAGAAGAAGATTGCACAAGTCTTTTATCTTGGTTCAGCCACTCCACATGTGACCTACATCCAGTCCTCAATCAGAACCTGATCAAGATTTGTTCCACTATCTTAATGAAGAAGGTTTACAAGCATACCACACATGCATATACTTCAACACTAAAGATAACCACTTTCTTGACCCCAAGAAAGCACCCCTTGTAGAAACCCACTACAAGAATCCTTACCACTTGAGAAACCCTTCTCAAGATTTTACAAATATTCACAAAGAATTAAGGAACGAATTCACCTGGAATTCAGAAGCAAATCTTAATCTTCCCCTTTCAAGAATGTGATGATGATGATGATCCTTTCTCAAAGTTTTTCACAAACGTTTTTCTTCTTGGATTCACAAAGAAAACTCTCCAAGATGGTCACAAAGACTCCACAAAAACGCTTTTCTAAATTTGATTATCAGTTCTAACTCTTGTCTGAAGTTTCTAAAAGTTCAAACTATTTATAAAAGTTTCAGAACCAGATAATCGATTATTTTAAAGAATAATCGATTATTTTGTTCTTCAGGTTTTCTGGAAACCAACCAAGAACAATATAATCGATTATTTTGCTGGATAATCGATTATTCCAGAGAGTTATTTCTGGGATAATCGATTATTTGGCAAATAATCGATTATTGCAGCAAGGCATCCCATTCTGCCTATTGCTGGAATAATCGATTATATTTAATGATAATCGATTATTTTGAGTTATTTTTCAAAACTTCGTTTTAAGTCTCAAAATAACTTTCTAGTCTTTTTAACTCATCATCACACACTCTCTAATTAGTTTAGATATAGATTTTGCTTATGCACACAGCACACACAACATATAAACTCATTCAAAACAATT